CCCTGGTATAGAGTAAAACAGTCTTCGGTCACGAAGTAACGTCTCCGCTCTTAAATCCTCGTTCTTAACCCTAGGATGCATAAAGAAGGCCTCCGAGAATTTATTTTGCTTTTACTGTGTACATATGCATTTTTAGAGTTTGTCCTTTGTGAACCCTTTTTCTATCTATTTTCATTTTAGTTGCTGACAAAGGAAAAATTCTCAGATGTTAAAAAGATAGGTTCAGAAATTCCATTCTATTACATAAATGCACATTCTGGGCTTTTAAGGCCCTATTAATGGTTATTTATATAAATAATCAATTGCTTAACAATAAGTTCACTTTTATTGAAATTATGAAGAAATGAAGTTATTAAAAATAAAATTCAATTTTTATGTGAATTTCTCAAGAGCAAGTTGCTCAAAGCCTTAGAAGCCCTTCATATGCATTCATGAACCCGGGACCATGCATCCTAGCGTTAATGATATTTTTAGATGTGTCAGTTTTCTTGTGCATCGACGATTAAGAACTCAACGTTAAGCTGCTGTTGTTGTTGTTAGTGTCAAATGGTCGGACTCGATAAAATTAATGATTATCTCATCTCTAAATTCGTTGTTCTTGTGCATTTTCAAATTTAACAACACGTCGGCGCCGCACACTACAAACTATTTCTTGACTCCCACATATCGCAGCCACGGCACAATACAATAACGGTCTTCGTCATGTTATCTGTTTCTTGCGACAAGGCTTGACTGAGTGGAAATCAGAACTGGTGATATTGGGAATTGAAGGTACATGTAATTTTGCGGTGCATTTAGCCATGGTTATTTGCCACAACCACGATATGAAATACTGAGAAGTTTTCATCCTTCGAAAATACATCGTCCCCATCTTGAGTTGAAGCAGCAAAAGTGATTTTTGAGCGGCTGTGAGCTAACCCATGTAGCCCTGGAGAAGATTTGTAAGACTGATATTAGGTTTCAAAATTTGATTTTATATGTTCGTAGTAATAAACATTTCACCCAAAGGATTTAGCCGAATAAGGGGATGAAAAGTGCCCCCAAACCAAATCGATTAATGCGATACGCATATGAAAGAGAATAAAAATGTAGATTCCCAAATATCAGCGTCATAGGGCAATCTGTTGTAGAGATACAATGAGAAACGTGATTTCCATGTTTTATTTTTTCTCGGCTTCTATTGCAAGTATTAGACTGAAAACAATTGCAGAGACGTAGAAAAATTGTTGAATTTAAAGGATTTTTTGTCTACCAATTGGGTGCCAAATTTAAATAGAAAACATTAATATTTTTAAAAAATTTATTTTCGACGTAATAACGTTTGGGTACTGTTGCAGTTTCCCCCTAGAATGTGACTCATAACATGCTATAACATTTTTTTCATGTTTGTAAACAATGTGGACCATAGTGAAATGTAATTAAAACAAATTTATCAGTTTAATAATTTGAAATTCGTGCCAAAATGTGATTGGAAAAATATGTTAACCAATATTTAAATACAGATACAATCACGACATATGAACTCCAAATCTTGTAGGTGTTACATCGATTGTGTACTAAACTGAAATAGAACATCCGTGGAGGAAAAAGATGGGTGTGCTCTTGCGCACCGTATCCGGCTTCAGGCAATGAGCTACAGGCACCAGTTTGGGTTAGAAAATTAACAGGAATTTTGAATGCTAAAATTGTCACAGTAACAAGTCATTGAAACATAAAAAGAGAAGCATTTTTAAATAGTGCACCTTTCATTTCAGTTACACCTTTGTGTAATTTTTGGTTGATCACTGTGGAAAACTGCCACTTTATACCACATTTAAAATATCTCGTAACACTTCTCGCTCTCCATGCAACATAGCAGCAAACGTCTGGTCTATTTTTTCGAAGGAAATACTCGTCTTGTGGTCACGTGTGCAAACTGGTGCTAAGCAGAACGCGCAACAATCGGTGCACCGGAGGAGGCCGCCCATCTCTTTCCATCATGGAAAGTGTGACCAAGGAAAGCTCCCATATCGAGAGTAAAACAATATTATTGTGAATGGTTGCGATCATTTTTTTTGAAGTTGGCACACGCTCGTTTTTTTGACGAAAGTTTGTTAACCCGTCAGATATTTTGAGTAGACTGTTCATATCCGAACGCGTAATCCCAGTTATTGAAGAAGACAATGACAATGATTAATTGTCTATGTTTGTCTAATTGTCAATGATTAATAAACGTACATCTGAGTAATGTATTTATATTATAAACATGAAGGATTGATATACATAAAACAGAGTGATATGATTTAGTTAAGAAACAATACTTAAATGTAAAAACAAATAGTGTTTGATGATTTTATTTCGATAATATACGCCCCTCATAAAAATAAACATTTTTCAGAAAAAAGTTGAAAATAATGCTTACCTAGTAGGTGACACTTTTCAGTAATTTAAAAATAAATTTTTTAAACATGGGTGATATTTTTTCAATCACATTTTGGCGCGAATATCAATTTTTTTAAATGATAAATTTGGTTTTAATTATTTTTTACTGTTGTTCACATTGTTTTAAAATTCCAAAAACATTATTTTATAGAATGTTGTGAGACACATTCTAGGGTGGACTAAGTATCAAACGTCATTACGTCGAATATCAATTTCGAAAGTTCATTATTTTTTTCTTTTTAGATTTGGCGTCAAAAATGGTCGAAAAATATTCCATCAAATTCAAATATATTTCTACGTGTCTGCGATTTTTTTTGCCATATATATGTAATAGAAGCTAAGAAAAATAAAACATACAAACTCGTTTTTCATTATATCTCTGCAACAAATTGCCCTAGGAAGTTGAATTTTTGGAAATCTGCAACATTTGTTATTATCTTTCATATGAGTATCGCGCTTTTCGATTTGGTTTAGGCCACTTTTCACCCCTTTATTCGACTATATCTTTTAGTTTGCCATTAGTACTTTTAGTTTGCTGAAAGCAAGGTAATGAATTACTACATTCTGGATGCAATGGGTCGATAAAGTAGTAAACTCGCCAATCATTACCGATAACAGTGAAGTCATTAACAAAGTGAAGTCTTTAAGAGAGCTACAGAGTAAATGAAGCCCATCACTACAACCGCTGGGAAATCTATCACTTTGTGGCCCGGAGCGTTTCAGAACTCTGTGATTCGTCTCTGTTCTTCAGAATTCTAGTAAGAGTAGTTCTGGTCCTCTCCCCCTTTTTTTAAATATTGCGTATTTTGAATTATTTAAATTTATTATGATACAATTTTATTCAAGGTCTTGGCCAAGCGGTTTTCATTTTAAGGATAATCTCCTTAAAAAAATATTGTCTTGGTGGTGGTTGTTCTTGTCAAACGATTTGTCCTTGTCAAACACGCCCCTGTTAGAATCAGATAGATGAAGAGAGTTTAGCAAGAAATAGATGAAATACTAATAGGCTATATAAATTATAATATAAGTGAGCGAAGTTTACGGGCAGGTACACTAATTAGGTTGAAACATGGAGAGTATTAGTGAACTAACTGCCACCTGGCAGATACCAAAAGATAATAATAGATGGTAGTTTTTCTACTTTTCTTCTTGTGCTAACTACAAGTTGCCACGAGAGCAACATGCCTAATTCAGTAGATAGCAATTAGACCACTGACTCTCAATGACGTCGTGTTTAGTTCCTGGCCTAATTATGGTAGAAGGAAGTTTTCGTGCACGACTGTTTTCGTGCACGAAACTATATCCTGTCCCAAATACAAGAGAGGCCTAACATCGATTTAATATTTGTTAGACCACTCGCTCTCATGGCCTGTCGTAGTTAGTCCACTTACGCTCTCACTTCTTCAAAACAATCGGCGTTAATTAATGCAAATTTTACTACGCTCCTTTCGCCATCTAACGTAGAAAGACGGTATTACTCAGACGACGAAACCGGCGATTTGAATGTAACTCAGAGGCTCTTTGTGAGGGTTGAGGATCTTTTCGTTGCAGTAAATCTACAACATGGGATAGCCGGCTTTATTTCCCCTCCGAAAAAAAGGCATACGGAGGGTTTTTTACGCCCATAAAAATCCACGGTTTTGATCGTGTTTGAACCTGCAAGTACAAGAGTCCGATACGCTAACAGTTATACCACCGAAGCCGCATTTCAATCATCGTATTCGCACAAAAACCTAAATCTTCTGGGGCGCGCACCTGCAGGGCGGGCGGCTGGGGGCAGCCGGAGGCGGCGAGGCGCGCCAGGTGGCGCTGCAGGCGCTGGCCCGCCGCCCGCGCCACCTCCACGCGCAGCGTCAGCATCGCCGGCCGCAACATGCACCCGCGCTCACGCCCACGCCCTCGCCCACGCTCCCGCTCGCGCTCACGCTCACGCTCGCTCTCTGCGGAACGCACTTCTTCTACGTCCTCCGCCGCCCTCTGTGTACATCGGTTGCGGCATGAAGCCAATGCCGCCGCCGCCGGCACTACTTTACTGTGCAGGTCCAGATGCAAGGAAAGTGAAAAAACGTAGTATATGCTTTTAGATATAAAAAGCCGAGAGGCATATCGCTGGATGAAGTAGCAACAAATACTTGCTCTTGTGATCAATAACCCGAATGGAACGTGTGCAATGTATTACCGAAACAGCGCACGAGTTGTAATGTTGGTGAACGTATTTTAATGTTGTTAACAGGCTCTAAAAGAAAAATATTCAAGTTTCGGTATTTATTTTTTAAGGAAATAATTTCTTTTCCGAATGCGTGTTTGTGAATATGGTTTTATAAATATAAAAAGTTAGGAAATCAAAAATAATCTAAATGTTATATTCATCATAAGAAATTACGGTTCCATTTGAGATAATACACGTGGATTCATGTTCTCATTAATATTGTTATTGGACAACAATGATTACATGCAGGTACTTGAGCATCGGCAAGACCAACTCTACTATGGTCTGATATTAATTTGGCTTCAGATATAATGCAGATTTATTTAATGTTATACATTGCTTATTTTATTCGTTACCAAATCCACTATCTCAAACTAAGAGACAATTTTAAACCTTTTTAAAATTATGATATCAATAGTTATATTTTTCTACACAAAATCATGCTTATTTGATAATTTGGTAAACTCTTGAGGGAACGTAATGTAAGCTCGTCATATTCTTGACATGTAACATCGCTGTATCGTATGTGCACCTAAACGAGCACTTTCAATATCGTTCGTTCAAAATCTCAATTCTACTTTAAATGAAGTTTTCAAGAATTACAATGATTAGATTTTCGAAAATCAAGCTTTTCAAATACTAAACTTTTCAACTAATAAGCGAGTTATGAAGTTACCTGATATTTTACATTCCGAGGTGACGCATTCTGTAGGGACCATGAAAACTGGTAATACTGATCATCGTCAGATTCATATCCATCGGTGTTGTAGAAACTATTTCGGCACGGTATTTTTGTTCTTCGTTTACGTCGCAGTGCCACTTCTTTTCGTTTCTTTCCTTCCGTATCCTGAAAATCGACGTTAAATCTCACGCGTTTTTTCTCTCTCTGTATAGGATTGGCTAAAGGCTCACTTGAATAATCATCTTTTTGAAATACCTCTTTCTGTAACCTGTTTTCCTTCCCGATTGCATGTTCATTGGTTTGATTCATTAGCTTATCAGCAAAGTGTTCCTTTACTCTATTTTCTTCAGGAGCCTTCTTTTCTTCTTCTTCTTTTGCTGAATCGTCTTCTAGACCGTGAGCCACCAAAGCTTCGTCAAGACTTCGAAGGACGGCTTGCACGTCTTCTTGAAGTTGTTCTTCTGAGAGTTCCAAACGATGGTCAGTCAGTGCACCGGTATCTTTTATTCCACAGGTGATGCTTCCATCTGTGTGCACTGATGTTGGACGTTCAAGTAGTTGAGAAGATACCTAAAAAATTGTACAAAATGTTGAGTTTGGGAGAGCAGGTTTCACACATTTCGGGTCATTGTAGAATATTACTCCGGTAAGGTAGTTTATATAGGAATATAATTTCATGAAACTTCAAGATAAAATGTTAGAATACATATTTTTTTATTTTTCTCTGCAAATGGACTAATTTATATTGATCGACCTTAAAAACTGATACATTCAAACAATGCGAAAGACTATTCTCTTGAGCACTGCATATATCGTGAGAAGGTTTCTAATGACGTCACATGACGAATTGTGACCGCCAGTTTACGTCTATATTTTAGGTTGAGGAAGAGTATTGTAGAAATATATATAGAAAAAATCTGTAGAATTATTATTAATTAACTTTTGATTGTAAATTTGTTGTATATTTGTATTGTTTAATTATAATAATGATAATAACAATAATAATTATATAATACAATAAAAATAATAACAACAATACAATCATAATAATAATTATTTACATTTAAGTCATTTTGTAAAATGTTTCATTTTGTAATCACATAAATAACCGGAGGACTGTTTTAAGTAATACCTATTTATTCATTTTCAAAGTGCATATAGCTGAATTAGTATTACTAAACGACAGCGCGATTTTTAACTGTTATCGAAAAAAATGCAATCGAGAGAATGAATTTAAAAGAAAATTGTATTGTGCCTAAAGATTCAACGTATTAAAGAGACGTATCGTGATAAACACAGTCTCTCCATAACAAATTAATCAACATCCATGGGACGCATTCATATCTACCTCAGTAGACCGACACTACCTTACCTTATTCAAGAAATCCCGATGATGTTGCAAAGTCTCCTCCCAGGCCTTATCTTGCCCGTCTTCAGTCAAAGTAACCTCCGCCGACGCCTCCTCCTCCTCCTCTTCCGCCTCCACGCTCGCTTCCAACTGGTCCGCAACGTCGCTCGGCTTTAAGGTCTCGTCCGCGTCTTCGTCCGCCTCCTCCGCTTCGGTCCCTGCAGTCTGCGGCGCGAACGCGTCCGCCGGCGTCTGCTCCTCTCCTAGGGGCCGATGGGGATTGTCTCGTTCAACTCCTTTTACCGCGACGACTCCGCGCGCCGCGGCACCGCGAAAAATTCTATCTCCTAGAGAAGTAAACGGGACGCGGCGAAACACACAGGACACGGCGGTATCCTCTATTTTTATTCATGAGACACGTCGCTCCTATCTTCGAGAATATCGCGACAAAGGGCTTAACACTGGTTGGCGCTGATTTTCTCGCCCGGTTGTTGCGAAGCACATGCCCGATGTTTGGAAAACGTTGTGTTAGGAATTACCTCCGAGTGTGAACATTACGGAAAACATGAGGTGGGAAGTAGTTAAGGGGCTAAAAACTTTAGTGAAGCAAAGGGAGAGAACTCACCATGCATTAGAACTGTTTGTACTTCGCACATTGAAGCCTCGGGAGATAACGTCGTCGAAGAGCACGGACTGCTTCTACCGCTATTGTATCCCGTCTCGTCTGAAATAATAAAGGGATTTATCGACAGAATTTTAAAGAGAGCATTCGACATTCTTAGAGAAAGTTAAGGATTGGGAACAAACTTATTTGCTTGGTAAAATGCGCATGAGTTGGTTCTCTAGTATCTACACGCTAATTCCCGTCTTGCTCATTTCCACTTCAAAGTTTAATTTTACTGAACTTTGTTTTCATCATTCTCGTCTTTTAAAGTATCAAACATAAAATATAAATTTATGGTTATAATACATTTTTCCGACTTTTAAGAAACATCATCTCTGATGCATCAGTTACATTATTACCTTCGTATTGAATCGCAAAATGACTCATCAGTATTAATATCACCACTTTCTCACATTGTTGTAGTATTATTGGACTTGATATAATATAGATAACAAATAATTGATAAACAGTAAATCTGTGATAGCTTTTGGTGCTCTGATCGTCTCCTTATCTGGACCATTAAAGCAGTTATGCGTCAAAAAATTCTCTCAGTCAGCAAGACTTGAAGCAGCGAGAGGCGCACACGACTCCATTTCCGAGAATAGAAGTTTGAATACCAAGCACTGCATACTCAATTCGCTTTCTTGAGCTCTCATTCGGCTAGATGAGAGAGCAGTTTAGAGTTTTAGTTATTCATCACCACTAGCATGAAAAAAATAGCTCGCTGCCAATTTCTAATTGTGTCTCTTACCCGGAAGATAACATTTCTTATTATCAAACGTTTCCAGCAACGCTTCATTTTCATTCATAATTTAACTATGAATATAAAAATAGATAAGATACGAATTTGCGATGCCAAGAAAATGTGCATATATTGTACCTCTACACTTCCATAAATAACTTTCAGATTTTATTGCAGTTAATTACGAAGATAAGTAACTTAAAAAATATTAGGTGCAGATTCTTGAAGGCACGTCTTTCGGACATTTCCCCCCTTAACTATCATTCACGTAGGGCACAATAAGGGATAAAAGCAAAAATCTTATGCTTTCAACTTTGCAAAAAAAATTATTGCACAGTAAATATTTCCTTATGAATTCTTTCGAAAACGCTCATTGTTAATTGTATTCATAATTCTGCTTAGTGTGTTTATGAAATAGTGCAGAGATTTCGAGCTCAAAACACTCTGCGCAGATTCCATTTCTTCTCATGCTACGTCTCACAAAGTTTTTAAATGTTTATGACAAATAAATGAAACAATAAATGAAACTAGTGGTGATACAGAATGACACATACATTTCCGTATTAGTATTCTATTCCCTCTAGTCTCGGCTAGCTATTCTAACTTGCTATGTACTCTTGCCTGCTGTCATCTATCGCCGCCCAAAATATTTTTTTTTTGTTGAAATTTTCTTAATTTTTCGGTTTCATAATAGTAGAATGCAAATATTATTTATGAGGGAGGTGGGAGGTGGCAGTGATCTTTCCTCTCTGGATGGTGAGATTCGGCGCCGATCTACCTTCAGCTAGCAGGATTTTCCCTAACTAGTTTTCTGCCACAAGCAGGGCACCGCCCCCGCCAGGACAGGCTTAAGGCTCCCGATCGGTCTCCCAACATGTCTGGGGGTGTAGTAAATGCAAGGAGTCTATGTTGGGTAAGGAGACCGGGGTTGGGTATGTAGGACCAGAAGGAAAGATGAAGGAAAGATCCGTGGTCCGTTAGTTAGAGTATTACTCCGGCATTCACCTGAAGTTGATTGGAGACCACGGAAAACGATCGATCAGAGGACTCGGCCGCTAGAATTCTCCTGCATGGCAGACAGTGGCGCGGCGCGAGCGTACCCGAG